AAGGGCCGGGGCCACGGGGCGAGGGGCCGGCCGGCGAGCCGCATGGAGCCCCGGGCGGCGGACGGCTGCTTCCTAGGAGACGTGGGTAAGTGCGGGGCGCCGCGGGGGCGCAGGCGAGGGGGCGGGGAAGGGCTGGCGGAAGAGCCGGAGCCGGCGCTTGGGGACTGCGGAGGCGCATCTGATGGCCTTCGTCCCGGAGATGGTGACGTACCCTACTGCTACCCGAGCTCGTCGTCAGGGGCGTTTGGGTGGGTGGGCCGCGGTGGGAGCAGGGTCCCGGTCGTCCCGAGCATCGCGCCCTGCAGGGCTGGCCATCCGTGTGACCCGCCAAGTGTGGGGGTTTCAAGAACCGCGGACCCCCCGGAGCGCCGGGCACCTTGGGGAAGATGCGGGACGCGTGCGGGGTCCCTGCGCAGCTCAGGGGGGAGCCTGGGAGGTGCCCACGGGGGCGCATTCGAAGGGCATCCCCGGCAGGAGCCCGCTGCCGGAGCCGGCCGCGGCGCGGGGTCAGGAGCATCCTGCAGATACACCCAGCTTTAACAGGGAATCCACTCCGATGGAGGACAGCTCTCTAGACGCCACGGCACACTCCGTAAGAGGTTATCTCAGTTCCCCACGCCATCTTCTTTACCGTTTGGGCAGCCCAAGAATAAAGTGGATTCGAGGGCAAAGGGACATTCTTTGGGGACGCAAACTTCTCCCTGCCAATGAAGTAATAAAACGGCAGATGAAAGGGCAAAGCACTTGAAAGCCTGGCAAGAAAAAAATCTAAGGTGTTATTACACTGGTAAAAACAGCAGTGCAAATAAAAGGGAAAAGTTGAAAGAGCAAATTCAACTGAAGAGGAAGTTGCAGTCATAGCAAGGCAGAGACATTCTAACTGATTTTGCGATACCACCACCTTCCACACGATCAAAGGCATTTAATAAGCGTCTGTCTTTACTTGGGATTCCATTCCAGGCCAGCCCAAGACTTTGACCCTGACAGTGTGATGTGTATTCGATTGGCTCAGTTGAAGAAACAATGAACAGCTAACCCCTGGCGCCTATTTACATATTTTAGTGTTTTTGTTCAAGTAGAGGGTTCAATAGTTTGACATCACTTCTGAGCATGTTTTCTGCATAGTTTGGTAAGGAATGTATCTGTAAAAGAAAAGCACATTTTAAACTAATGGATCTACAACTTCTGGGGTTCATGAGTATTTTTTACGTTGTCATCGTTTTATTTAATATATTTCTCCAAACATATGTTCTGCTGACATTTTTTATTCCCAACCTAATGAATAAGCTGAGTGTTGGATCCAAAATAATACTGCTAACCCAGCAGACGCAGAGGCAGATCATAGGAGCTTTCACCCATTTTAACATTCTGACTCCATTCTATAAGGGTGGTGTACTCCAACGAAAACATTTAGGTTTTCCATTTTTTGATATAACACCTCACAGAGATAACAATTACAGAGTCTTACAATATGGCCTTTTCAGTAAGTACAGAGAATTTAGAGAGAGTCATCTTCTTTTTTTTTTTTCTTTTTGTCTTTTTTCGTGACTGGTAATGAGATTGCAACCCTCAGTGTCGCGCCCGTACCGCGACCAGCAACGGGATCGCAACCCTCGGTGTGTCGCGCCCGCACCACGCTCAACGAATGAGCGTACCGGTCTCTATATGGGATCCGAACCCTCGGTGGGAGCGCCGCTGCGCTCCCAAGCGCTGCACTCTACTGAGTGCGCCACTGAGCCGGCCTAGGGAGAGTCATCTTCTAAAATGAATTCAATGTTTATATGTTAGCCAATGTAAGACAAATCATTATTGACCCAAGGTAAGTGTCTATTTGCAAAGTTGAAAAATCTTTTTTCGTGACTGGTAATGAGATTGCAACCCTCAGTGTCGCGCCCGTACCGCGACCAGCAACGGGATCGCAACCCTCGGTGTGTCGCACCCGCACCACGCTCAACGAGTGAGCGTACTGGTCTCTATATGGGATCCGAACCCTCGGTGGGAGTGCCGCTGCGCTCCCAAGCGCTGCACTCTACTGAGTGCGCCACTGAGCCGGCCTAGGGAGAGTCATCTTCTAAAATGAATTCAATGTTTATATGTTAGCCAATGTAAGACAAATCATTATTGACCCAAGGTAAGTGTCTATTTGCAAAGTTGAAAAAAATTCCCATATTCAGCATCCATATCCAAGAGTCTCTCTCTCTCTCTCTCTTTTTTTTTTTTGGCGGCCAGCTGGTAGGGGTTCTGAGCCTTCGACCTTGGTGTTACAAAACTGCACCCTAACCAACTGAACTAACCAGGCAGCCTCAAATGCCAGAGCTTCTGGCTTGAAGTAATGAGCTGACAGAAGATGAAAAGAATGATTTAGGGAATTTGGGGCTCTAAGTACAGTGAGCCTCTGCTATCTTCTTCAGTTATCCTCAGCCAAATACACTAAACATGGTTTTTTGTCTTCTGGGGTGTTCAGAACATGAGAGACAGCTCTTGGGACCGGGATAAAGAGCCACTGAGCTGCTAGGTTACATGCTGGATGAGCTGCAAGCCTTTTGTCAGCTGCGAGATGGTTATCAGTATTGATGATTTAGAAATGAAACTGAGGGGCCGGCCCCGTGGCTAACTCGGGAGAGTGTGGCGCTGGTAGTGCCAAGGCCACGGGTTCGGATCCTATATAGGGATGGCTTGTGCGCTCACTGGCTGAGCATGGTGCAGACGACACCGAGCCAGGGGTTACGATCCCCTTTCTGGTCAAAAAAAAAAAAAAAAAAGTTTTTCTGAGAAGTTTAGAAAATCAGTGCCCTGGCTGGGAGGTAAATGTCACTAAGATCTTCTCAAATTGTGTTTCTGTTTCTGCCTTAAAGAAAGCTGCATTCTAGAAATCACCAGAAATTTCCTTTTGTGTAGAAACTGCTGGACACTGTGTTATAGTGCTAATGACAAATGTCTGAAGGAAATAAAAAGCAAATGCATTTGTGATGTCTCTAACACCTGTTGGGATTCTGAAGCAGTTGGTGTGGCTAGTAATGGTCACCATCTATAGCTGTACAAACAACGTTTAAATTTTTTGGCATAATTTTGCTGCCGTGGAGAATGGGGAGAGCTTTGGAGTTTATTCGGCTGAGTACTGAGGAACAGTAGATAAGAGCAAGGTATCTTGGGCTAGACCCCAAAGGTCCTTCAGGAGGAAAGAAAAAAGGATAGCTGCTCTAGGATGTGGGCTCTGGGACATGGGCTCTGGGACACAGTGGGAGGTGAGAGTATTGGGTGACAACCCCCCATACTGGGAAACCAACTGAACAGTGATTTGCAATCCTTGCTGCACAGTGGAATAACCTGAGGATCTATTAAAAATACTGATTCCTGGGTCCTAGCTCCAGAGATTCTGATTGTTCTGGGGGACAGCCTGGGTGCTATACAAGTTGAAAGTACCCCAGGGGATTCTAACATGCGACCAAAATTGAGAACCACTGAACTAGTGAAAGTCTCATAAAAATGTGAACCTATGTGGCACAGGTCCGTGGACAAAGGGAGGAGAATGGAGCACACCCAAGCAGTTGAGCTCAGAAAGAGGTGCAAGTCATGGTCGCTTAGTGATGCGGTACATTCTGAGGGATGCGTTGTTAGGTGATTTCGTCATTGTACAAACATCATAGAGTGTCCTCACACAAACCTAGATGGTATAGCCTACTGCACACCTAGGCTGTATGGCAGAGCCATTATCATCATATGGGACCACCACTGTATATGTGGTCTGTCGTTATGCGGTGCATGAGTGTACGTTTTTGGTCCGGAATTGAATACATAAAATAAAAACAGGCTGAATGTGACAGCATAGTGAGAGACTTAAGCTTCCTCATTGGGTATAGTCATCCTTCACTGAGACCTCCTGTGTACCAAGGGTAGGATGAAGTGCCTTAAATGGTTTCCCGCCCCATTGATAGGTTTACATTGTCATCTTGTTAGCTAGGTGTTTTCAGCTCATTTCTTGGGGTGAGTTGCTTCTCCGAATGGCTTGTCATTCCTGTGTCCCTTAATAAATCTTACTTTCAGAGGGCAATCTTATTCCAAGTTCTAGAAGCAGACTCTCAGGTAGCCCTCTCTGTGCTCATATTTTAATGGATTTGGGGCATAAAGGGACAAACTAATGGATTTGAGGTGGAAGGGGGCAGTATCTTTCTAAATAAACAGGCAAGATAAAAATAATGT